TTCAGTAACTTTTTATAATTGATTTTAGTTGATTTCATCACTGATTTCAGTAACTTTTTATAATTGATTTTAGTTGATTTCATCACTGATTTTTGGTTAAATTTATCATAATTTTTTAAATTTCATAATTGATTTTAGGTGATTTTTTATCATTGATTTTAGTTGCTTAACCATATTTTAGTTGATTTCATCATTGATTTTAGTTATTTTATCATTGATTTTTATTTATTAATCATTAATTTTAGTTGATGTTATAATTGATTTTAGTTTTTTATCATTGATTTTAGTTGATTTATCATTGATTTTAATTTATTTAATCATTGACCTTAGTTGATTTCATAATTGATTTAATCATTAATTTTAGTTGACTTATCATTATATTTAATTGATGTCTTCATTGATCTTAGTTGATTTCATCATTGATTTTTATCATAGATTTTAGTTGCCTTTTTCATATTTTAGTTGATTTAATCAGATTTTAGTTGTTTCATCACTGATTTCAGTTGATTTCATAACTGATTTCAGTTGATTTCATCATTGATTTCAGTTAATATTTTAATCATTGATTTTAGTTGATTTGATCATTGATTTTAGTTGATTTTTATCATTGATTTTTAGTTGCTTTTATCATTTTATAATCAATTTCATACTTGATTTCAGTTGATTTGATTTTGTTGATTTTTATCATTGATTTCAGTTGCTTTTATCCCATATTTTAGTTGATTTCAGTTTGTTTACCACTGATTTTAGTTGATTTATCATTGATTTTAATTTATTTAATCATTGACTTTAGTTGATTTCATAGTTGATTTAATTAGATTTTTGTTTATTTTTAATAAGATTTTAGTTTATTTCATCACTGAATTCAATTGATTTTAATCATTGATTTCAGTTGATTTGATAATTGTTTTTTTATTTTATTGGATTTCAGTTGATTGTAATTGATTTTGACATTGATTTTAGTTGTTTTTATCATTGATTTTAGTTGATTTATCATTATAATTAATATATGTCTTAATTGATCTTAGTTGATTTTATCATTGATTTTTATCATAAATTTTAGTTGCCTTTATCATATTTTAGTTGATTACATCAGATTTTAGTTGATTTTTAATCAATTATAATTGATGTCATCATTGATTTAAGTTATTTTTATCATTGATTTTAGTTGAATTTTTATCGTTTTCAGTTGATTTGATCATTGATTTTAGTTGATTTTATCATTGATTTTTAGTTGCTTTTATCACATTTTAATCTATTTCATACTTGATTTCAGTTGATTTGATTTTATCATTGATTTCAGTTGCTTTTATCCCATATTAGTTGATTTCATAATTGATTTCTGTTTATTTTTTATCACTGATTTTAGTCAATTTTTCATTGATTTTAATTATTTAATCATTGACCTTAGTTGATTTCATTACTGTGAAGTTATTTTAAAAATTGATTTCAGATGATTTGATCATTGGTTTTTGATTTTATTATTGATGTCAGTTGATTTTTTGTTGATTTTGACCTTGATTTTAGTTGTTTTAAAAAACTGATTTTATTTGATTTAATCAATTTTTAGTTGATTTTTTATAATTGATTTCAGTTGATTTTCACATATTAGTTGCTTTTATAATTGATTTCAGTTGATTTTATCATTGATTTTAGTTGATTTATCATAATTTTTAGTTGCCTTTATAATATATTAGTTGATTTCATCGAATTTTAGTTGATTTTTAAATCAAATTATAGTTTATTTCATCACTGATTTCAGTTGATTTTAATAATTGATTTTAGTTGATTGTATCATTGATTTCAGTTGATTTCATCATTGATTTTTGTTATTTTTATCATTGATTTCAGTTGGCAGAATCATTTATTTTAGTGGACTAATTATTGATTTCAGTTGATTTGATCATTGATTTTAGTTGATTTATTATTGATTTTAATTCATTTCTTCATTGACCTTAGTTGATTTCATCAGATTTTAGTTTATTTTTAATCATATTTTAGTTGATTTCATCCATTGATTTCAGTTATTTGATCATTGATTTTTTGTTGATTTCAGTTGATTTTATCATTGATTTCAATTGATTTCATCATTGATCTTAATTGATAGAATCATTTATTTTAGTGGACTAAATAATTTATTTCAGTTGAATTGATCATTGATTTTAGTTGATCTTAGTTGATTTATCATTGTATTTAATTGATGTATTCATTGATCTTAGTTGTTTTCATCATTAATTTTTATCATATATTTTAGTTGCCTTTATCATATTTTAGTTTATTTCATCAGATTTTAGTTGATTTTTTTATTAGATTATAGTTGATTTCATCACTGATTTCAGTTTATTTTAATCATTGATTTCAGTTATTTGATCATTGATTTCAGTTGATTTATCATTGATTTTAATTGATTTCATCATTGACCTTAGTTGATTTAATAATTGATTTATTCAGATTTTTAGTTTATTTTAAATCAGATTTTAGTTGATTTCATCACTGATTTCAGTTGATTTGATCATTGGTTTTTATTTTATTGATTTCAGTTGATTTCAGTTGATTTTGACATTGATTTTAGATGTTTTTATCATTGATTTCAGTTGATTTCATCATTGATTTTAGTTGATAGAATTATTGATTTTAGTGGACTTAATCATTGATTTTGTTTGATTTGATAATTGATTGCAGTTGTTTTTTATCATTGATTTTAGTTGATTTATCATTGATCTTAGTTGATTTCATCATTGATTTTTATCATAGATTTTAGTTGATTTGATCAGATTTTAATTGATTTTTAATCAGATTATAGTTGGTTTCATCACTGGTTTCAGTTAATTTTTTTATCATTGATTTTAGTTGATTTGATCAATGATTTTAGTTGCTTTTATCACATTTTAATCAATTTCATATTTGATTTCAGTTGATTTGATTTTTGTTGATTTTTATCATTGATTTCAGTTGCTTTCATCCTATATTTTAGTTGATTTCATTTTATTTTTTACCACTGATTTTAGTTGATTTATCATTGATTTAATCAGATTTTTAGTTGATTTCATCACTGATTTCAGTTGATTTTTAACAGATTTCAGTTGACTGGATCATTGGTTTTTATTTTAGATTTCAGTTGATTTTAGTTGATTTTGACATTGATTTTAGTTGTTTTAACATTGATTTTAGTTGATTTATCATTCTAATTAATTAATGTCTTAATTTATCTTAGTTGATTTCATCATTGATTTTTATCATACATTTTAGTTGCCTTTATCATATTTTAGTTAATTTTGTCATATTTTAGTTGATTTTTTTAATCAATTATAGTTGATTTCATCATTGATTTCAGTTATTTTTTATCATTGATTTTAGTTGATTTGATAATTGATTTTAGTTGATTTTATCATTCATTTTAGTTGCTTTTATCACATTTTAATCAATTTCATACTTGATTTCAGTTGATTTGATTTTTATAATTGATTTCAGTTGCTTTTTATCACTGATTTTAGTTGATTTTTCATCGATTTAATCATTGACCTTAGTTGATTTCATCATTGATTTAATCATTTTAGTTTATTTTTAATCAGATCTTAGTTGATTTCATAACTGATTTAGGTTGATTTTAATAATTGATTTCAGATTATTTGATCATTGATTTTATTATTGATTTCAGTTTATTTTTAGTTGATTTTGACATTGATTTTAGTTGAGTTTACCATTGATTTTACTTGATTTAATCATTGATTTTTGGTTGATTATCATTATTTTAGTTGATATTTTATCATTGATTTTAGTTGATTTTATAATTGATTTTAGTTGCTTTACCACAGATTTTAGTTGATTTCTTTCATTTCAGTTGATTTTTATAATTGATTTTAGTTGATTTTTTTATTGGTTTCAGTTGATTTAATCGTTGTTTTTTTGTTGATTTTATCATTTATTTATTTTTAATAATTTTTTTTAGTTTAAATTTTATCATTGATTTTAGTTGATAGAATCATTGATTTTTATCATTGATTTTAGTTGCTTTTATCACAGATTTTAGTTGATTTTTATTATTGATTTTAGTTAATTTAATCAGTTTTTAATTGATTTTTATCATTGATTTTAGTTGCTTACATCACATTGTAGTTGATTTCATAATTGATTTCAGTTGATTTGATCATTAATTTTAGTTTATTTTTAACATTGATTTTAGTTAATTGATTTCATAATTGATTTTAGTTGATTTTATCATTGATTTTAGTTTATTGTTTTTTATCATTGCTTTAATCGTTGATTTTAGTTGCTTTTATTACTGATTTGAGTTGATTTATCATTGATTATAGTTGATTTCATCATTGATTTTATCATTGATTTTAGTTGACTTTGTCATTGATTTCAGTAGATGTTTATCATGGATTCGAGTTGATTTTATAATTGATTTTAGTTTTTTAATAATTGATTTTATTTGATCGAATCATTGATTTTAGTTGATTTATCAGATTTTAGTTGATTTTGTAATATATTTCAGTTGATTATTTAATCAATGATTTTAGTTGATTTAATCATTGATTTTTGGTTGATTTTATCATTGATTTTTATCATTGATTTTTGTAGCACTTTGAGATTTTTGTTAATGAAAAGTGTGTTACAAATTAAATTCATTATTATTATTATTATCACATGTTCGGGTAACGAGTCATGTAAACAGAGTAACTACATATTTTCCATTTGAACTATTTAATGCATATCACGATCTCTTTGCACAACAAAGATCTCTCTTAACTCTTAACTACTACCACACCACATTTTATCTCAATTTCTGGAGTTATAGCCCTTTTTTGTAGTGAATGTTATGACAGCCATCTTGAATCAGGCTGACTTCAGTTATTAATCAGTTGTAGTTGTACACCCAGTGATTCATTTATGGAAGTTTTACTAAATTCTGTTTAGTGGTTCATAAGTTATTTTTGCTAACAGATGATTAATGGAGTTTGCCATAAAATGCAAGTGATCATTATACATGATCAGCAGACAATAATTATATAAAACATGCAGGATAGATGTATATAATAATGGCATTATCAGAGGATAGTGAATTTACAGATTACTAGATGTAAAAAAAGGGGTGTGTGGGATCAGTTGATAAATTGAGAGAAATGTGCAGTCTAAGGTTGAAATGTTTAAAACTGACATACACTGCCTGGCCAAAAAACAAAGTCACCATCAAAAAAAGGTCACACACTAATATTTCATTGGACCACCTTTAGCTTTGATCATGTCATGCATTCGCTGTGTCATTGTTTCAATAAACTTCTGCAATGTCAAAAGATCTATTTCCATCCAGTGTTGCATTAATTTTTCACCAAGATCTTGCATTGATGACCAGGCGCTAGACATGATGGGTGCATCACTTCACCTGCCTCTCTTCTTACCCTGATGCACCCATCACTCTGGAACAGGGTCAATCTGGACTCATCAGACCACATGACCTTCTTCCATTGCTCCATAGTCCAATCTTTATGCTCCCTAGCAAATTGAAGCCTTTTTTTTTCCAGTTAGCCTCACTGAAGACTGGTTTTCTTAAGGCTACCCAGCTGTTCAGTCCCAATCCCTTGAGTTCCCTTCACATTGTGCGTGTGGAAATGCTCTTACTTTCACTATTCGACACAGCCCTGAGTGCTACTGTTGTTATTCTTTGATTTGATTTCACCAAATGTTTAAGTGATCGCAGATCACGATCATTCAGGATTTTTTTCCGGCCACATTTCTTCCTCGAAGACGATGGGTCCCCACTATCCTTCCAGATTTTAATAATGCGTTGGACAGTTCTTAACCCATATTTAGTAGTTTCTGCAATCTCCTTAGAAGTTTTCTCTGCTTGATGTCAATGATTTGACCCTTCTCAAACAGACTGACATCTTTTTCACGACCACGCCATGTGTCTTTCCACATGGTTGTTTAAGAAATGAGAAGCAACTCATTCCACCAGTTGGTGTTAAATAACTTGTTGCCAGCTGAAAGATAATCGTCCATGCAGTAATTATCCAATAGGAGGCTCGTACATATTTGCTTAGTTAAATCCAGGTGGCAACTTTTTTTGGCCAGGCAGTGTATTTAAAACTGACACATACGAGTCAAAAGTGCAGCACTTGTAAAAGATGAGGTTGTTTGGAAGCTTGTGCAATCATTTAACATTAAAACATCTCGGACGTTTGACCGTAATTTGATTTATTAATTTTTTTTAAAGAGTGGACAAATTTAAAGAAAAACAGTAATAAAAGTGGAACCATTTGTCCTTAAGCAGTCTGTTATGAATCTCAGGATGATTTTAAGTTTAATAAACAGATTAACTCTGTTCTGCAGAAAAGCTTCTTCCAGTTAAGGCAGATAGTTAATCTTCAGTCAGTGCTGTCCAGATCTGACCTTGAAAAATAGTTCATGGATTACAACTCGACTCGATTACTCGATTACTGTAACACACTTTATGTTGGGGTCAGTCAGGTGTCCCCGCACGTCTCCAGCTCGTCCAAAATGCTGCAGCTCAGCTCTTGACAGGAACTCGTAGGTTTGATCATATTTCACCAGTTTTGTCCTCCCTTCACTGGCTCCCTGCGCGTGCCAGAATAGATTTTAAAATGCTCCTGTTGACCTTTAAGTGCATTAATACACCCTCTTACCTCTCCGAGCGAAAAACCAGGCTGAAGCTCAGAGGAGATCAGACTTTTTCAGTCGTGGGCCCTAAACTCTGGAACAATCTGCCTCCCCCCCTCCCAACATTAGACAGACCACCTCACTTCCTGTTTTTAAATCGCTTCAAAAAAACATCTGTTTAACACCGTGTGATTTGATTTAGTATTTTATTTAATATTTTATTGTTGTGTGTTTATCTGTTTTTATTACTCGTCATTAATGGCATCATTAATTAAATGATGTTATTAATTAATTGTTATAATTTATCTTTAATTACTACCATTGATTTTTATTGTTAGCACTTTGGTAACGGCTGCTGTTTTTAAATGTGCTTCATAAATAAAGTCGACTTGACTTGGTAGTTTTGACCGAACGGTTTCTGTCGGCGCTGAAATCTTCTCCTCCCCGTCTGATGCAGGAGCGTCCCGTCTTCAAAGGCAGCCAGTCCACGATGGGCGGGAAGTGGGGGTCCGGAGGAGTCGTGGAGCGGGATGAATATGGCCGTCCCGTCGTCTGGCACGAGGACAGACAGAGCCTGAGAGCCGTCGACATGGACGGAGAGAAGGAGGAGCGCAGGAGGAGGGTGGAGTCGTTCGTGAAGAGCAGCAACATGTCGCTGGTATGCGTCGGTGTGGGAGATGAAGATGAAACGTCGTTTTGTTTTTAACTTTGCTGCGTGTTGCTTCACTTCTGAGCTTGCATCGTCACTAATGAATACATGAAGGTTAATAAATAATTAATGGTGTCGTAGAGACGGAGGGCAATCCTTCACAACAGAAAGACGAACGAGAAGCTTGTTTTGGAACTGAAAACCCGTCGGCAAGAGGCAGCCATCTTGATTATTCTTGATTATTATTATTATAAAACTTAAATTTTATACAATTGGCTAAATCGGAGTTTACTACAGCTTTAAACAAAACTGGCTTAACGCCATAAATTTTAGATATTGAGCTAAAATTAGAGGCCGAGCATCATCTCCAACACACTCCGAGCTCTACGCTTTACCTGTGAGCGTCAAACCTGTCTGTTAGCAAAATAACTCATGAACCACTGGATCGATTTTAAATTAATCGCTGGAAGTGCATCTATAGTTGAAGTTTTGGAGTCAGCCTGGTGTAAGATGGTTGCCAAAGTAATGCTAAACTAAAAAGGTCATTAACTGTAAAGTTAATCCTGAACACGTGCACTCAACGAGCGCGCTCATTATCACGAGATTTTTGATGAAGCTTAAAACTGACACGAGCGGCGGTGGGGGGAATCCATATTTCAGTCCAAACAAGATCTTTAGTGTTTAAAACTTCTGTCGTCGGGGGAAATAAAAATAAAAAGCGTTTTTCTGCGTCTTCCAGGATTCAGGTCTTCCATCGTCACTGGTTCCCCTGAAGGCTCAGCAGGACGACTGCACCGGGCCCAGAGAACCGGACCTGGGCCACCTGCAGGAGGGAGGCCCCCCGCCTGGAGACGAGTGGAACCCGATCCAGTGTGAACCGGACGGACAGGAGGACGACGAGAGCTGCAGCTCCTACCAGATCTCCGAGGCTCTCAACAATCATTTTTACTACAGCAACGGGATCCTGAGGCCGAGGCCGCACTCCAACGCAATCCTGCTGCACCCCCAGTCCCAGATCATCTGAACCTCCGTCTCCTCCAGAACTTTTGAAGAAATACTGTCTCCCTGCAGCGACAAACTTCTTATTTGAAACCAGATGTTTATTTTTAAAACACACAAAGTGTGTCACAGAAAAGACAAAAACTGCACATTTTTACTTCTTGGGACATTTTAAACTGTTATTTTCTATATTAACTAGAAAGTTTTTAATTATTTGGGGGGGTCTTTTTATGCATTTTTGGTTTGCTACGAGAGAAACGACAGCAAAGATCCACGGTGGGAGGTTTAAAAACTCTATGGTTTAAAAATCTGAGGACTCTGAACATTTTGCCTGTCTAAAAATCAACGTGCACACTGTGAGTAAAACTTATTATCCCAGAATATAAAGGAAAACTATTACTGTTGCATAAACTTTACTGTCCTGAGTACTAAATGTAAAGTGTTTTTGTTGAAGTACACTTGAAACCCGTTTTACAAGAAGTCCCACAAATTCTGCGACGCCGGTAACGTTGAAACAATTTAAGGAGGAAAATGTGAAGAAAAAGGCTCCAAGTGTCGATATACTTTAGTTAGGATGCTCATTGTGGATGAGAATTTCTTATGTGTGTGTATATATTGTATATAGTCAATAAACCATAACATTATGACCACTTGCTCTACATTGGCTGGGTTAATACTAATTGTTTTAAGAGCAGTTCTTTTAATCAATTGGGATCAGACAAAGAAAACCTAGAGTGTCTTTTAATGCAACAGTAACATTAGATTGTGTGGATTATTATGGTATGGGGTGTGTAGATTTGGTTTGTCTCCCTCAGATGACCTTAGACTGTGTTTTAACCACTCCTCAATCTGTGAAGACTCCACTCCTGAGAAGAGCCTGGTCAGGTGTACCTGACAGGCCTGAAAACTTAAGCAGGTGGGAAATATTAAATTAAATTGTCATTTTTTGATGGGGCGCCACGTGAAACACAACTATGACTGAGTGCAACGCAATGCTAGGAAGAGGCACTAACGGAAATGGTTGTTTTCAAGATAAAATACCCTAAAGACCAGTGTATGGAGAAACATTTACATATTGTTTTTGGAAAAGCTCTTATTTGTGTAGTATTATTTGTGATCCATGGACTGGTTCATGCACAGAACAGAGGCAACTTGGGGTTTGGTGTCTTGCCAAAGGACACTTCAGCATATTGCTGGGAGCCAGAATCAAACCAACAACTTTATGTTTAACATATGCACTTCCTCGAGTGACCCAAACGGCTTTTTCTGCTCACACTTGAGGCCTGTTTTGAGTCACCAACAATTCATTTAAGTTAAACACGTCCTAGGTAATAATGTTTTTCTCTTTTGTAAGGCTGCACAATATTATTAATTTTTTATATATTACAATAACATAACTTTCAATACACCCACATTTCCCTAACTTTTCAGTCTTCACTTTCATCTAAACCAGAAGTGGGAGTTAAATCCAGCACGTGTGTTGGATTGATCAATTAGCACAAAAAAAATTGACCACCCACTTCAAATCTGCAATATTTATGACTTTTTGCAGTTCAAGCAGTCGAAGTTATGATATTAAGCAGCCGTACCAGAGTTTCCCACACATGAGGTTTGAACCCATGCAGGTTTTGTGAATGACAGAAAAATATGTGAATGTTCCTGCAAAAAATTTAAATTAATGCACGCTCTTGTTGGTGGTCATAACGTTATGGATCGTTGCCGTTTGTGTATGTGAAAATATAAAATTGCTCTCAACAGCCAAAAGAGGAACTTTAACGGAAAAACATGAACAAAACGTGGACTTCACTGAGATAAAACGCAACAAACTAAACTTTTATATTAAGAGTTTAGTGCTGATGACAGACTTGACCAACTATGAACAATTAATAAAAAACACTGTCAGGTGACGATGAATACACTGTAAAGTGCTTTAAACTGTATGCGAGTGCTTTTCTGTGAAACAGAAATAAAATGACATGTCATTAATTACTCATTAAAAGTTACAACTTCTCGACTTTTACAAACATCATGTGGTCAACGCAGCTGTAACAGACGTGTGCACGACATCCTGTAAAGCAACCGCCTCATTCATTTAGTTTGAACAGGGACTAAACGTACAAGCTGAGCGAGATCAGCTGTTGAACAGCTAAAATAAACCATGTATCTATCTTCATACTGTGAGATGTGAACGTTCCCCGTTTCCTCAATGTGATGATTTAGGGTGGACCTGGGATTTGAAACCGGTGGAAATTGGCCTGTTCTAAAATCAGAAACACAAACAGGAGAGAAATTACTGGACAAGTTTAAACATTTAGCTGGGTTAGATCCTGCGGAAGCAGATTGTTCTGAATGATGTCCTTTGTACAACGTCGAAACATTTTAATTCTTCTGTGGGACTCCAGATCTCTTTCAGGGTAACAACTCTTATCTGTAAGGCCTGAGTTATCACTGAATGCTTCACCAGGGTCGCAAATTATATAAATCAAATACGCTGGACTTTACCACCAACTTATTTGAGATTTTAAAGAGAACTTTTTGGAAATGTTTGTCGATCTGTACATCTTCTGTATGTCAGTGAGGAAAAAACGGGTTTAATTTGAAGAAAAAGATCGTGCACGTCTTTTAAAGTGAACGATGCAAGAATAATCCAATTAATGCCAGAAATCTTCAGTGAACTGTATCTTTAAAAACAGGTATTTTTCTTAGTTTACATAAGAAAAATACATGTGACCACACTTTGTGCTATGGTACTTAGGCTGTTTGGAGAAAACACATTTTAAATTTGACTAGTAACATCAAAGTGGATTCTATGCACGTTTTATTTTTGAGAACTTTTTCCCCCAGGCCAAGTAAAAGTAGCCGTCAACTTTTGAATTATAGTTGTAGAATATTCAATATTAACTTAAAATGGAAATATGTAAAGTATATTTTAGATTAGAAGCTTTACAGTGATAGGTTTCCTCTCCAACCATCTCTAAACATTACCGTATTTTTCGACCTATAAGTCGCGTTTGTTTTTGTTTTTTTGCGTAATTTGCACGCCCTGCGACTTATACGCTGAAGCGACATATTTATGTTTTTTCCCCATATTTATAAACCAATTTTTGGCTGAGATCAGAATCAGAATCAGAATGCCTTTATTGTCATTATACGCAGTACAATGAAATTAAGATATGACTGTTTTCATTCATTCTGACTGAAAATATTGAACACTACTATTTTCTGCTGCTAGTATGGAATGTCATTGTGTCATGTAATAGGAACATGTGGTTATTAATTACACAATCAGCTTGCCAAAGCTACCACTGTCGTCCAGCTCACCTGGAGCAACCGTCAAATCAGCTTCATTTCGTTGCACCGCCCCGACGAAACTAATTAACTAATTTGACCACTGAAGTGCATTTATTAAGTAAAACTTAGACTGAGACACACCTTTGCTGTAAAGTCGAGCAAACAAATAATTGTTCTTAGGTGATTATCTTGTTAAATTTTGAAAAAATGCAGCGCGAGTCCTCCCGTGCGCGCTCCTACTTCCGCATATCTGCTTTTGAAATATGGCTGATTTGACTGTAAACGTGCATTTATTAAGTAAAAGTTAGACTGAGACACACCTTCGCTATAATTTCAAGTAAACAAATTGTTTTTGAGTGTTAATCTTGTAAAATTATTGTTAAAGTCCTCCCGTGCACGCTCCCGTGGCCGCCATTTGGCAGCCAATCGATTTACGGCACACCGGCCCATATTTCCGAGTTATCAGCGGTGACGTGCAACAAACACGATGCGTCAGCGGTGACGCATAATAGATGCTACGTATACGGCAAAGCAGCGCATTTGTGGATTTTTCCACTTTATTAGACATATTTGGGTAGAAGCAACTTATAGGGCGGTGCGACGTGTACGGCGGAAAATACGGTATATCTAGTTAGCCAAATAATTTGACCAAGAAGACTTCTTTCTTACAGAGGTCAAAGTCCGTATTTATTTTAAGTGCATAGGGTTTGAGTTAATGTGTTGTTAAGAATTTGATGTTTTGCAGGATGTTTAAACAGACCAGAGACACAACCAAATAAAAGTAAAAGTTAAAAGTAATTCAAAAAGGGCGCGCAGTAAAACGAGATGGCTAAAATAGTTTTTTTTAGTATAAAATGCAGGAAAATCCGCCTCGTTTCTTATTTTCAGCTCCTGTTCATTAAACAGCGTTCTGAGCAAGCGCTTCTTTGTGCGTTCGTTGATGCGTGCGCAGGTTACTCCTCTGAGAAAAACACTTGCCACACATGTCACACGTGTACGGTTTCTCTCCCGTGTGAATTCGTTGGTGAATCTCCAGGTGGCTGACGCGATCGAAGCTTTTGCCACAGAACGGGCAGATGTACCACTTCTCTTTAATGCGCCGACTCGCTACTGCTTTGTGCAAGTCTGGACCATTGAACAGAAACAGTCTGCTCTCTGAGCTGAAGGGCGACATGGTTTTAGTTTGCTGTTTTTCTGAAAGGAACCCAACAGGCATCTCTCGCTCTGTTCGGTTTACTGCTTGATGACTTGGTTCAGGTTGGCTGAAAATCACAGGAGCTCTGGATTTACCCGAGGCACCTTGCACCGCCACGTTATCCCTCATACATCTGTCAGAATACGCTGCTGATTTATCAAAGATGTCCACGGCATTTTGAATGAGCAAGATCTCCGAGTCCAACTGCTTTGGCTCGTAGAAACAGTCCGAGTCATCTGCTGTGTCGCTGCCTCCCACTGAAATCGCCAACCACTGCTGGTTCTCCTGATCCTGTAAAACTTCAGCGGGTTGTCGGTTCCGCTCCTCCTCCTCCTGATGAACTGCTCCATCACCGCCGCCGAGGTCCGACTCCGATGCCTGCTCCACAATCTGAACATCATCGTCATTTTCTAGCTTGACAGCCAAGTCTTCATCTTCATCATCTTTGTCTTCAGGCTCGCAGCAGAGGTCAGATGTGTGATGTCTGGTCCGACTGTCCTCCGTCTGATCAGGAGCGGTTCTATTGGCTGGAGAGTTCACTTCATCTCTGACGCTCTGGTCAGAAGACAACGTCTGAACGGAATCATCCGAAGGCCCTGGAACGACAAAACAATCTTTCTAAAAACTATTTAACAGAACTTTCCCTTTGCAAAATATTTTTAAAGTCAAACTGTATGTATAACAACTGCATTGTTAAAAGGCAGGTCATTCAATTCAATTTTATTCGTTTGAATACCGAAGATGCAACAAATGTATTTATCAAAGAGTTTAGGGGCAGAGCTGGTAAAAACTGAAACAATTCCTGTTTGGGTTTTGCTCAAACATGAACAAACGCGAGAAACTAGATGTGAAATCTTCACACAGCATTAATATATTTAAAGTTACTGCAGTAGGTGATCAATTTTCAGATAAATGACTGAAACAAAACACGTACCTGATGCAATTATTAAACTCGGGAACATCGATAATTAATTTAACTGTTGTGTGCGTGTGTAAAGCGTCTTCTTTGCATTTAAATGGAACAAACTTTGCACATGTATATTCAGTTCATTTAAATAATTATTTTATTTAAAGAAGCAGAATAAACTCTGAAAATCTTTAACCTGCATATTCCACTTTGTTTAGGGTTTTAAGGGACTGACTGTAGGTCTAGAAAAATAGAAAACAGACAAACAAAGAATAAACAAATAAACAAAAAGGTATCACTTGTTTTTAAGGGTCCCTTTATAAATTATTTATTACCAAAAGAACATTTATTTATGAGTTTGTAAACACTTTAAAAAGCATGGACAGGCATTTATTAAACAGTTATAAAATGCTGTTCATACATTAAAACAGGCTCATTATTTGGCAAATTCAATTAATATATTTTTATTGCTTCAGTCGCTCAGTTTACTTGTTAAACTAGATAACGGCAATTTACTGTTTTTATTGTTGCTTTTAGTGTTTTACAGCACCCTGATTTATTGTTTTAAATCACTTATTTTATTTTAATTGCAGTTTTACTGTAATTTATTGTTATCGTTTACTGTTGTCTGTACTTTATATGTTCTGTCTGGAACAGGTTCCTCTTGTAAATGAGTCTTCGGGGCTGAATGAGACGAGCCTGCATAAAGAAAGAAAGGTTGAACGAATAACGACCGAGGTTTAATAAAATCTAAATAAAGATTAAATAAATAAAAAGGTACAGCACTTGATCACGCAAACCTGCTTAAATATATGAAGTGTTTCATAGCAGTTTTATAAATGGTCGGCAACGCTTTATAAAGTGTTTTCAAACTCATAAATAACATTTTGAATCATTTCAATCAGGGCTCTTTTTAGATTGTGGTACCCGCAAAGTTTCCTTTATTTCCAAAATTGAAAATTACATGCAACATTGGATATGCATAATATTTGTCTCATTGTATTTAATCAGAATGAAACTTAACTTGTGAGATTCTAAATTACTGTGAAAAGATAGAAATGTGACTGCTGATTTTAGTGGTAGTTCCTACCATCACCAGAAGGCGGCAGTAGCTGCGCTCTGTTGGAAAACGTCGAGGACTTATTCGAAGCCTGAGAATGAGCCAACAAACGCTCGTTTTCCATCGACTGCAACTTGTTGTTCAGAGCTTTAATTTCGTTTTCTCTCCGACGGAGCTCGACCTGTATGAGAGCGAAGCCATCCTCCCACAGTTTGCTAATTTCCACCACGGCGGCTTTGGCTAGCATCTCCATGATGGAGGTTAGCTTGCTCTGGAAAGCCACACAGTTGTTGTCCATGTCGGCTCGGTTCGGCGGCCCTGCTGGCTCGAACGACGTGTCGGGCGTTAAACTTCCTTCATGTGAGGACAAACAACAAAACGGCAGCAGCGTTGCTTTGCCGTTTTGGTTTACATATGCTGATTTGAGTAAAAACCTTTGCAAATGTAACAGCAACAGGAAACGGCTGCGGTCACGTGACCAGAACACGGGCGCTTCTGATTGGCTAGATTTCAGCTGGAAAACGTGACGTAGTGGTATTTAACAACTGCCCACAGTTTATATTTATTTTTGACACATTACGGAAGCGTATTCAGTGCATTTAAAAATATAAACGAACATATCTTTGTATATTACTTTCAGATCTAAAAGGGCAGAACAGTTTTGGAAAACTTATTTCCAGAAACTTTCCATTGGAAATATCCTGATGCATGCTCAATAATCCAGGCAGAAAAATCCAAAAAAGTTAAATCTGGTCCTCTGAACATTCAAAAAAACAAAAACAACAAAGCAAAACAACGAAAAGTAGAAACGTTTCATCTTTCATCCAAAAGACTTCCTCAGTCTGAGGTGCTGTGTTCAGCTCAGTCTTATAAATAGCACCTTTTCATCGTGGATCAACCAGTTTGCTGCTGACAACCAAAACCAGCTGCTCATGGTCAAGAAGGACCATCAGACTAACCATGGATCATTTCCATTGGAAGTTAAACTGGAAATTTGCAAAGTTTTCCAAACTGGAACTTTCCAGAGGAATTATGAGAGGTTATGGGAGTTAACTGGAAGTTAGGGGTAATTTTAATAAATTGTTTTATACCCAAACATAAACAAAGTTTTTTTCCCCTTCTATTATAGGCTAATCAGGAGTTTGACTTAAAGTTTATGAAAGTAACAAATGTTATGACTTAATTTGGATTTGATGCCATAACTTTTAGAAATCTTGAGCATATTTACAATTCCCTTTTTTTCGTTGTAATCCATTTCTAAACTTATGTATACAACGCTGAACCAAAATAATCATGTTTCATTTTATTTTGGTATTATAGTCACATAAAACAAAGCAAAAATGGATTTAAATATCACCAAAAAAAATCATTTATGTACATAAAATGTAAAATACTACTCACACAAGTTTTTGTTTGATCATCCATACATCATCTTTACCCGCTTCTTCCTTTTCGGGACGCGGGGATCACTGGTGCCCATGTCCAGCCATCACTGTGTGAGAGGCGGGGGACACCCTGGACAGGTCTTCAGTCCATCACAGGGACACATAGAGACAAACGAGACAAACAACCATTCAAGCTCACCTATAAGGACAATTTAGCGTTACCAATCAGTCTAACATGCATGTTTTTGATCTGTGGGAGGAAACCAGAGTATCCGGAGAAAACCCTCGCATGCACGGAGAGAACATGCAAACTCCACCCAGAAAGGCCCCCCCCCGAGCGGGATTTGAATCAGGGTAACCTGCTCACTGAGAGGCAGCAGCTCTACCTGTGCCACCGTGCTGCCCTTATTTGATCATTATTTCACCATTTCTGTCATTTTATCCATATAAAACAAAACAAATTCTATGATGCATGCTCAGTAATCCAGGTAGACAAATCTGACAAGGAGGTCATCTGGACGGATTATTCTTTGTTTTGTATTTTCCAAAAAACTTCTTCAGTGTGAGGAGCTGCAAGCAAACTCAGTCTTATAAATAGCACCTTCTCGTAGCATCAACCAGTTTGCTGGTGACAGCCAGAACTAGATGTTCACATGCAAAAGGAGGACCATCAGTCTAACAATTGATCATTGGTGCCTTGATGGTTGCTTGCTATTCACAGAAGATTGAGTGATCCATACCAGCACGCTGTTTAACAATGGACGAGTTCTCTTCACAACGATGACGTTCTTCACTCCTCTCTCAAACCATCGTACCTCTCTATCAAGGATGTGCACATCTTCATCCCTGAAACAGCGACGGCTGGCCTACAGATGAGTGTAGACCGCAGAGTCCTGGCCTGTAACGGACCACAGCCCTGACACTGAACAGCATACACAACATTATTCTGTTTGCGCCTGGGGACTGGATCTTGACGAACCAGTCTTTGCTGTAATGCATTATGGAGTTTGAAAGCCATTGGGCTGCCATGTTTAGAAAATAATTGTCCAAGTTTCTCTGAAACTCCCGCAACATACAGAATGACCACTGGTCACCCAAACCCCAGGCTCAGACCAGTGGTCATGCTGTGGGAGTTTCAGAGAAACTGAGACATTTATTTTCTGAACGTGACATCCCAGGGCCTTTCAAACAGCAGGAAACTGTACTTCAGTGTTTGCTTGAGCTCACCTAGAAAGGTTGACACTTCGATAGATATAATCCCAGGGGAGGGAATTTGAGAATTTGCCATTTGTCACATTTGTCATGTGATGCTGCAGTCAGGCCCTGTACTCTGACAGACACAATGAAAGACTGACCCAGATGTCTGTTTAGCACATCATCCTTCTCCAGCACATGTTCAAACCTGCATGCGCTTAAAGAGCTTTCCTACAAAACATTCCTTAACAAATATCACGATGCATGCTCAAGGTTAAGTTTGATAAGGTTTGTTAAATACGTAAAGTGGGACAAAAATTTATTACTTTTTTTTTTAATATGGTGGCAATATGTTGTTGCTTTTTCACTGGAATAGGAATAGCAGTGCTGCCTCTGCTTGCCCACCAGGTGAGGCTATATTTCCACATAGATTTGAAACACGTTCCTGTGCTCACCAAAGTTTAATCATGGGGCATTTGTTAAGGCAATCGAGAATGCTGAAAATAAAACAAGTTCATGAAAATATGCTTCCAAGTTCTGCTGTCTGTTGTGCATCAAAGATCTTTACTGTGACCTGTGAAATAACTAAAATCACATTTGATTATATTACCCAAGTATCTTACTTTACTCAACACACACTTGGCCTGACAAAAAAAAACAAACAAAAAAAAACAAGTAAAAAATAAAATCTTATCTTTTTCAGACGTTGCAATCATGACACCACGTTTTATAGAGTTAAGCACAAATAAACTTCTTTATTTTGTATGTTTACATCGGAAAAAAGGTACTCAAAAAGAAGAAAACATTGAAAATTAACTAAAAAAAAATCACAATAAATTATTTACAGTTTTAATCAAATTAACTTAATCAACTAACATGTTTTTATTAGCGCACTAAATATATTTCTAGATTTAATAAATGTTAAGAATAGCTATTTTATTTACTCATTACTCATCACAGGTCTGCAGCCTACAGTGGTCACATGATCAAATACGCAAGACTCATTGGCTCAAAGACGTGCCAATCAAACGTGGGCGGGGTCAGTGGGATGGAAGCAGGGAGACGACGGAGCTGTCAAACCCCAACAATCGTTTGAAATATCGCCAAACGAGCGCAGCGGAAACCGTCGTATTTTACCTCTTTTAGATATAATACCGACTCAAGCTGATTTTGCGTTGGTTTTCGGGATTCAGCCTTTGGATATTTGGACTTTGGAGCCGTCGCTGTGGGCAGTTGTTGTTTTGTGCGTGTTTGTTGGCTCTAAAGCTAACGTCTGTTAGCTTTCGCTGCCTCGCTCCAGTTTTGTTGACAAACTAGCCCGTCCGCTAGTCGCTGTTTCAGCCTTTAGCTGGTCATTTTCTTAAGCAGTATCTTCTGGTAGAGGCATGGGACCCAGCTCGGACTGTTCTTCTCAATTCTTCAGTGAAGTAATATCAGGTGAGTCCGCTTAACTTTAAAGAAGACCTGAACTTTTATCCTTGCAGCTGTTTCTAACGTCATGTTTACATTTTCTCTGCAGTCTAACAAACTTGAACCAACACACTTCCCACAACTTTTGGTTCTTTATTTATTTGTGCACACATAAAATGGCTTGTTGCATAAAACTCCACATACAGACCAGTTGTATCCAGGTAAAGGCAGGTTTTCCCCCCCCATCAGTTTATTCATTATTCACACAAACCACTGAAGAATGACTGGAATGCTGTGACTCACATATTTGGGATGTTTACCTCAGTAAATTGTCCTTATTTCTTGAAGATTAGAAATGTAGTTTACAGAAGACAATTCTGTCAGAGCATTGTTTTTTGCAAAACTGTTCTCAGTACAAATGCACATACAGAAAGCTCCACCATACCCATAAATCTCATGCTCTGCAGTGACAGTAAATTATTTGTGGAAGCCTAACATTATAACATCACTTAGCTTTTGATTTATTGGTGACTTGTTCTATTAGTCTGTAATCCACGCCACAGCTGGATTGCGCTCAGCTGTCCCAAACCACTCTGAAAACATTTGGCTGGAGGCTGCTTTGGTGCGATGCCCCATCTGTTTTGAAGCAGCAACAGGCCACATTTTAAAAAGACCACGAAAAAAGCAGCCACCCAGTGTCCCTTTAGTGTGGTTGTTTAGATGAATGCCCTTTGAAAATGAAGGCCACAGAATACTGTATATCTATTTTTGTTTTATCACTTACAACGTCATAGAGGGTCGTTGTACTATGGTATATAACATTTTTATTATGTTTACTTTTTTAAGTATATTTGCACAACATTAAATCTTTGCTTTAGATGATTGCATAAACTTAACAGACTATCCACAACCAGAGCAGATTGTCAGTCTGTATATATATATTTTTTGTTTACATGCACTTCAATATAATGAATCTTGATTAAAAAATATTATGAAAATGTCCTGATGCATGCTCAATAATCCAGGTATATAAATCTCATAAGGTTAAATCAGGTCCTCTGGATGGATTATTTTTTTGTTGAAGAAGAAGAATCCGTCCAAATGACCCGATTTAACCTCGTTGTATTATGAAAATGTGTTTTTACATTAAAATAGCTAATATATTTTATGTTTATGTGACATGGACTGATTAATAATCTAATTAAGGAAACACCTGGCTCATCAGAAGGCATTAAAAATCAAGAAATAGTTTTATTCTCGTACAAGAAATATTCACGCATGGGAAATTTGTGCTCCTTTTAGTCTGCCTTGACCACTAATGTGGGCGTGTGAATTAAAAACCCTTTCTGGTTGCTGTGAACTGTTATGATTCAAGAGTGTGCTAATGTTCTTGGCCCATTCTCGTCGACTCATTTACTACAGAAATCTGTCTCTGCTCCTCGATGGAAATCTTTCTGAAAATAGACAGGAAAGCTTAGGCCTGATACTTTGGGCTTGTGCTTTGCTTGGCACAGGAGCTTTTTTTTTTTTCACGATGCACCATATTGGCAAGGCAAAAAATGGATTTGTAAAATAAAAAAAATAAAAAAAGAAGAATGTCAATCCTTTTAAGGGTATGACTGGGACAGAGAATGATCACAGAAGTCATGTAGGTGGGAACTCTTTGAGTGTGGTGTCGTCGTTAGGATCTAATCCCTTTAAACCTCCTCAGGGGCTCAGATTGACTGTTTAGCTTTCAGCATTAGTTCTTTAAACATCCTCTGATTTAAAAAATCTGAACCTTTTTTAAAGTTTGCAACTATTTGTTGAGCATCATGCTCATCATAAAATCACAACCCTGGACCAAAATGACTCAAATCTTAATTGGCTGCAGGAGAAGAGCTCCTAATAAGTGAGTTTGCAGAATGAGGAGGAGAATGCAGAATTACAGGCACCGTTGCATGAAGGAGGACACTGTAATACGAATTGTAACTTCTTTTTTTTTTGCACGTGAGGTCACAAGAACTACAAGTAATTTTAAAAATGATTAAAAACTGTTTTATTTTTCTGGAAAATGCAAGGTGACCATTGCATTATTTCACAAGAACGTATTCTCAAGACACTTTAAAGATAAATTACAGAAGCTTAATTCATGTTCTGTTAAAACCAGTCTAGACCAGTTCACTTCCAGTTGTAGTCAATAAAACAAATCAATTGAAACTAATTATTTAACATTATTATTATCATCAATCCATAAACTATTTAGCCTAAAGAAGAAAACTTAATATCACGCTGGGCTATAAGTCATATATAATTTTTCTGTGTAACTTAAAATACTTGTTGACATTTTAATAATAAAGTAATTTTAAACATTTTAGTATTTTATGTCATTGCATTTAGTTTTGACTTTCTTTCAGGTCTTGTCTGTTTCTTTCCCTTTTATTTTTCGCTTCTGTTTAGTTTTGACATTGTTGAGCAAAAAAAAACCACAAAAATAAAATGATCAGAATGTTTTTTTTCTGTATTTTTTCCAGTAACCAATCGACTGTTTCAGCATCAGAAAAAGATTTGTATAAATCTCCCTAAGAAATTAATTATTGAGTGATTTCTACAGCTTGTTTAGTGTACATTATCATTAATCAGAAGACAATGGCAGTGTTTTAATGCCTCTAATATTCTACTTACTTATTGAATCTTTATTTGTGTGTGAATAATATCAATGTACTTCTGTGAGGTTAATCAAAAATTGTAAAGTTGTATATTTTATTTGTTATTTCAGTTCAGCCAAAATTACAGATGTGCTCATTCTATATGTATTTTAAGAGCGGTACACTGCTCAAGCCAATTAAACTTATTCTTAAACAAAAATTCTTAACTGACCATTAAATCAAAGTAATATTTATAAGGCTCTCAAGGGCACAGCTATGAAATTACAGGCAACATAATGAATATTACAAAAGTCCTTAAAGGTATACCTGATCATTGGGAGATTTTATGCTTAACAACTTACTTGGTTTGTTTTACTTTTAGCCTGAGTATTTAGGAAATGGATTTTTAACCAGGCTGTACATTGTAAATGGTAAAAGATTCCTCTGACATAAAGTATTTTCTGAAGAATATGAAAGCCACAGTGTTTACAGTTATGAAAAAGTCCTTCAGCCACATGACTTCCTTCCCTGTCCCTCTTTGTACCCTGCTGTTTTTGTTTTGGATGGTCGAAAAGATCCAAGACGTGAGCTATTTTTTGGCTATTCTCCCATAATTGGACAATCAACGTTTTATTACAGCCATTCTATTTGAGCCCATTGAGCAACAGTGACTTTACTCACCGATACTGAGATCAGAGTGAACGTGCAGAAACATTTGTGCCGTCATTCTAGCCTCAAACTCATCATTTTTAAAAGTAAAAAAACAAAAAAGAGCAGGTAATTTATTTTCTGTTCCCCCCACCCCCCCAGGTCTCCAGTGTTTGACTGCACCCTTGTCAAACATGTGAAGTTCTTATCATGCTGGACTTCTCATTTACAAGCAGCGATGAACTGGACTTGTTAAAAACTTGAATTTGTCAACGGGAACATCCAGAATAAAATTTAAAGCTGAAGTCTGAGTGTGATCCATTTTCTCCCAGAACACAAACTGAAAACATACTGTGCTGCCGTGAAGCCCTCGGCACCTTTAAAACAATCTAGTCCTCTTGTCATGTGGGTTCATTGTAGAAAAAGGCCCATATCACCTTCTTTCTCGTCGCCATGGACCGGAATAAACGCAACTCTATTGCTGGGTTCCCTACATGGCCTGAACGCCTCAGCGACGACAGAGACGGCAATGGAGGGATAGGGAACTGTGAGATGGGCCCGCCTTCCCAGGTCAGTTTTATTTTTATTTTTCATTTCTAAATTGATAAACGGTTGTTTGCAAACGCATGAAAGCAGATATGTGTTTCCTTTTTTTTTTTTTTATCACTTTTTTTACATTTCAGTACAGATGCTTTGGACAGATGCAGGGAACTAGGCAATAAATATGTCGGTTACAGGTGATCCCCCTGGAAGCGAGCGCACATTAATGAACGACATTTAGCAAAAAGTCTTTGACAGAAACGAAGCAGAGGGTGATGCTATTTAAATGCACAAACAAAGAAAACAATGGTCTGATCACTGACAGCTGCAGTGGAAAGAGTGGAGTATGGCAAGTAGTTATGTCTTATAATCAGCAAGTTTTTTATATATATATATATATATATATATATATATATATATATACTGTGTGTGTAATTTAAGTTCTGTGGTAGGCTGTTTGTGTATTTATGGATGAAAATGCCTGAAATTGCAGCTATTATTATTATTTTTTTGTATTTTCACATTGGGGGTGGTCTTCGGTTTTAGGCCTGTCACGATAACAAATTTTGCTGCGCGATTGTCTCAAATTATTGCGATAAATGATTGTTTGAAATTTGACAATAATTAGTAGTAATTGTTAAATTTAAGAAGAAATGTTTGCAAATTTGTTTTCCTTGTGGTACCTTTTTTGACCACCAGATGGCAGTATAAGACTGTTTGAACAGAAGGATGGATAGTGAGTGAGCGAGCAATGTGTCTCTTTAAGAAAATGGGAAGGAGGCCCCTTGACGTTACATGGGCTGTCTCTCTTCGGTTCTCAAAATGGCGGACGCTCGGTAATTTGAGCTCTTTAGCATAGCATTTTTCACACAAAGCTTTTAATAATAAATCAGTTAACAAGTTCTCAGCTTCTTTGTGCAGAGGAAAACAACTTTTTATATGAAGGCACGGTTTTCAACTGTGAATTTTGGAGCTTCGACAAGACAAAGGTTTTTTCCTGAGGTCGACCTGTTAGCTTAGCTCGTAGCTTAGCTTCTCAGCCTAGCTGCTATTAACGATCCCAAAACGCGATTTTGGACGGTTAAAATGGATTTTAAAGAGAAAGGGAGGGGTCAGTGAAGAGCACCGGAGTTGATCCTTGTGTCTTCAGTGTCTTCAGTAGAAAGAGAGACGAAGAAATGATAAAACCAATAAATGAAAATGAGGTTGATAATTTTAATTTATCATGTGATTAATTGATTTATTGTTTATCGCGACAGGCCTATATACAACAAAAGTACTCCATGCTTTTTGTTAGACACTCCCTAATAGCCAAAATTATTATTTTTGTGTGATTCTTGCCTAAAAGAACACTTCTAACATTTGGTATTATTTTTCTTTTTCCTGAGCTAAACTCGTACCACATCGTGAACCTTAAACTCACTTATTAGTGATAAAGTTCAAGGATCTGAAAGGATTTATCAGCGGCACATATGTTTGAAATCTGGTTCATAAAATGTGTTTTGCACTTGAATCGGATGACACTGTTCAGGTGAAACGTTAAACTTGTTTTGCTGTTAATGGCAGAAACTTGTTGCTAAAACGTACAGCTCAGTTGGAAGTGGTACCGATGGGACAAATGTGGGTTTTAAGCTGAAAAGTGTGAAGTTGTATATAGTTTTATGGTCCAGCAAATGTTGTTTTTTCCACATCATATCAGTCATAGTCATTTATTATAAGGCTTCTCAATTTTAAAAGCAATACACATTTCTAACTAAATGTTATGAGCATGTGCTGAAGACTAGGGAGGATGAACTTTTGCTCAGCAACATGTCATTGTCTGAAGTCATTTGTTTTATTTTTTTAGTTGGTAGAATTTTAAGGTCAAGTCTATATTTCTTTCTACTTTGTGGTCTTATAGTCCTGACTAATATACCACTTAAAAGACACACAACTAATGCCTCTTTATCTTTGTGTCTGCCTAAGCCTGTCTATCAGATGAGCACTTCCTTTGGTCCAGTCTTCACCAGTTGGTTCTTGTATTGTTGGTTCCAGGTGGGCCGGGTGTGTCCGTCCTCGTACAGAGCCCTCATCAGTGCCTTCTCCTGCCTGACACGCCTCGATGACTTCACCTGCGAGTGGATTGGTTCAGGGTTCTTCTCTGATGTCTTCAAGGTGGGTAAAATCTTTTTTTCAACGTTTGTCTAGTTGATCTTTCTCTGCACTTTTGAGTTTTATTACTTTTCACCCTTCACTCGATCCTAAAGGATTTATTTATAAAGACAAAAACTAGTCCTTTTTTGTTGTTGCTTCTTATATGTACCAGTTTCATATTATAGGGAAGTTGTCTTTAGTAAATTTTGATAAAACTGTTGAACCTAACCTAGTTTTCCATTTGATTTATTCTTATCGTGTTGGCACACTTGGTGAGTTAAACACCAATTGTGAGTTATCTTCCCTAACGAGTCTTTGACATTTTTAGCTCAAATTAGACATCACTTAAAACGCCCCTTTCCGTCCACGTGAGTGTAGGTCGCACAAGCGTTTTGACCATTTCTAAGCTTGGCTTTGTGAAATGAAGTCCTGTCAGCAGAGACGTATCATGTTAAACTCTTGTTTGTTTTATTATGAGGACCACCATCCAAATGAGACATTGTAGTATGGGTCAGTTTGATTGAGATATACAAAGACACACTCATCTTTAAATGGAAGCGGAGTTGCACTAGTATGTAAAAAAAACATTTCCTGGATTAGGCTTGTTTGTGACTTGTGCGTGAGATGTTTCTTTTTGGGTTTTGTTCAGAAGTGCGTGTTTTTATTTAAGTATTCCAGCACAACAGAGTTTGAGCTCTTATTCTCTAAAGCTGACATTCAGACTGAAGTTGACATTTTTGTAAAAGAGTTAAACGCATATAGGGACAGGGAAATGGTAACGTTAAAGGAGAATTTTAAAATGGCGATTTTACTGCATGCTCTGTAGTATGTCATCAATTTATTTTTCAGAATATGAACAGATTGGCAAGTTTATTTAGGATTATGAGCATCATTTTAATGCAAAGAGCTAAGCCAGTACAGTTTGTCTCACATTCATTCTTTAATGGTTTTATTGAACTTGTTCTGTGACGTCTGAGAATAGATGGACTGCTGATGACAGGTGGCAGCTAATGTTTTAAAATGTGTCTTGGGGATGGCAACTTTAATGGAATTTATTAGTGATGTGAAGCCTGTCTTATGTACTTTACTTAATGTAACTCCATTATGTTCCTGTTGGAGCAGCTGTGGAAAAACACTTGTGGTCTATATATAAATACTGGAGCATGTTGAAAACACAGAGCTGATGGCGAGTCAGAGAGTGGCACTGATGACCGTAGCTCGAATTATTAAAGGTGGCTGCATGTCTACAAGTCATTAACTTTTGGAGTCAGCCATATTTAACATGGCTGCCACAGGTAATTGATCTTAGCGAACACAAAATGTTTATAACTCGGCGAGTTTTATAGACGCAGAGTTAAAAAATTGGTGTGACGGCAGCAGAAACATATTTTTGCTCGATGTTCATTTAACCAAAATGGCTATATCTTTTATTTATTTGCATGAAAGGTGGACGATGAGCATTTCTTCATTATTTTAGATACTTTGCTGATGTGTCAGTGAATGAAACAATGTAGCTTTTTTAATTTTTTGTCTTTATTATGTGTAAAATGCATTTATCTTTTCTGTACAACCCCCCAAAATCTTGAGTTCTATCCAATTTATCTACATTTTAATAGAGAGCGTCTTTTAAAGTGTAAACAGGATGGAACCACAGAGACTAGAAGTAAAATGTAATATTTTAATGTATTTGCCAAATTAAATACTTTACCTTTTCTTTTTTTTACCCTGCCTTTGCTTAAAATTTAGCCTATGTGATATGATACATTTACATTCTCAGCCTTTAAGAATAATACTCCTACTTACCATGCCATTAAATAAATGGGTACCACCTTGAGGACGATTCCTGCTTAGATTCCTGTAACAAAGATTTGTTTTCTTGATAAGAAAATAATTAAAAGTAAATTTGAGGACAGCCTGCTGTTGAAAAGCTTCAAGGAGAATAATTTAAATGAAATAGTGTTGAAAATAACGAGTCTGGAAGCTGAGGGAAGAAACTAGAGGAAAGCCTCTGATGGTGGAGAGTTGTGGTGAAAACCCTGTTAAAGGAGATGATAATGGGGGAGGGGGGGGGTAGATGAAGTTTTAGGTGTCCACTGAGTACAAAGAAGGGCTGTAGAGGAGATGAAGAGGAGTTTGTGGAGAAGAGGTTGGCAGGAATAAAATGAGGAAAGGGTTTGAAGAAGATTGACAAAAGGGTTAGGTTTTCCATCTGAGAGGGGGGCATGCAGAGGGGGGGGGGGGGGGGGGGGGGGACATCAGAGGAAGATGGAGAGGGGAGATTTTCCTACTACTGCAGGGAATGATTAGGGCTGGGCATGCCGGTTTGTTTGAAGCCACAGTGTGGAGGAAAAAGAGGGGGATCAGGAAAACAAGTGGGGGGGATTTGATGAGTGAGGAATTGGGGGTCGGAGGATGGACGTATGTGGGGGAGGAGGCCTTTAGAGGAGTGGCCATCTGTTGTTTCTGCTGTCCTGTGGTGGAGACTGTCGCCTCTCACAGCCGAGCCCCCTCCTTGGAACAGATTTATCAGTCGGTGTATGAGGTGGAGAGACGTGGATCCAGAAAACTCTGATTCTGCTGCATAATGCTGATAATCCTGCCAGTTCTCCTTTTTGCAATATATTACTTCTTGTATCCTTGTGGCTGTGCTTAAAGAAAGATAATAAAATAAAAACATTGTAAGAGAATGACATAAAGTAAGTTAGCCGCCTTTTGAGTTTTTTTCTTCACATTTTCAGCCTCTTCTACAATTTTTATTTTACCCGTCGAGCAGAAGTTTTGTAAAAGCCACGTTTAAATGCTGTATTTACGGCTTTCCACCATCCTGCCTGGTCCCCGATATTTATTCTTGATAGTTACTTTACTCGCTCTTTCTTTTTTCTTTTGTGTTTAGCAACAAATTCACTCACATTTCCACCTAAACATCCTTGAGATTCTTCACGTTTTGCGATTCCAGCGGATCCGTTTACCTTCACAGACTACACTCAGCCTAATGTTGGTCGATCACGAGATTCAGCCAAGTGCTTTGTTTACATTGAGTGTGGACCCGCATTTCAGAATTTCATATCAATATATGTGGAAACCTAACGTCACCTAACCTTAAAATGTTCGATTCATACTTTGCAATAAGTACCTAAAAAAACAAATAAAAAATCATAGCGGTTCATACAAAAGCATATTTTTAAACCATTAAATTGTCATCAGTTTTACTTTGCACCGTTTCTGACATAAATTTACTGATATTTCTCTCAGAGATACCCACTCTGCACGACAAGAGCTACAGCTAGCTACTGCAAACATATACTTATGCTAAATAGACAACAATGTACAGTTTTTTTTAAGTGTTTTTTTGTATACCCCACCTCTTGTTCAGCAACACTGGAAATAGACAATAACTTTCCACAACCCTGCACTGAAAAGCAGATAAAGAAGATGCATGTTTGCATGGAACACTATGAAATTAATTTATTATTATTAGCTTGTCAGTTTGGTCAGAATTAAACTGTTACTCAGACCGAGGCAATTCAAGGAACTAGACGACTGGTAAGAAATTGTTTGTTCATAACATCCTTAACTTTGCTGTATGTATTTTATATTATTTATGTATTTTATACTTCAATTTATTCCTGTTGATCTTTGCACTTTGCTTGTTTGTTTTTACACAATCTTTCTGATATGTTTCTTACTGTAAAGTGTCCTTGGGTGTCCTGAAAGGCGCTTTTTAAGTAAAAATGATTATTATTATTATATTATAACATTTCCTCAGAACTTGAAAGTATCTAAGCCGCCCATTTTAACCTGTTTGACACCGTGACACCTCTCACTTTGTGTGCGATGTCTAGTGAGGCATGAGATGATGAAGGTGTTGATTTAACAGTCAAATAGCACAGTAACACAAATGGGGAACACAACTGTCAAACATTGGTTCCTTTGTTTTGCATTTTAAAAAACATAATCGTTAACTCTTCATGAAGAGCCTTGGGTGTAGAAAGATCCACCATGTTGGATGATCTGCTTTGTGGTCTAAATATGTATCTGCTTTCAGGAAATGAGAATAGTGTAGGTAGATAAATGTGTCTGTCTGCAGCAGCTTTCTTATTTTAAGTGCTGCCTTCAGTGTCTTTGTAGGCAGTTATCTTCTATTTCCCTGTGTACATGTGTTGAACTAATCTTATTAGTAATTAATGCACTGCGTTGTGAGAACTCTGAAACCTGCCCTTTGTTGACCTTACCACCGGTATTTTAAAAAGGCTTGAGGTGAAGCAATCACATAGAAACGCACAGGAAGTTCAAACTCTTTCTTTTTAATATGTTTTTGTTTGTGGCTTTCTGTGCGTGTGGATTTACGTTAATGAAACTCTTGCAAGATTTGGAGTAAGCCCATTTCAAGATGGCTGCCACAGCCAGGAAAACTTAGAAAGCACAGCAGTGGCCGAGACTAATTCTTTAAGGAATTTGAAGCCTTTTATTTTGTTGAGAAGAAATGAGTTGTTTATTTTAAGGAAGAGAGAGAATTTAAGTTTAAAGCACAGATGGTTTTGTCTGTTGTTTGTGTGTATTGAAGACAAAATATGAGGAAAAAAAGACGTTGGCTTTACTTTTTGTAACTCACTGCCGTGTGTTAACCAGAAAGTTTTCAGAGTTGTTGTCACACCGCCGTCTGTAGCGCTCGCCTGCCTTTCATCAAAAACATGCTGAGACCCATTCATCCATGGAGATGGTGATGCCACAGTTATCCAACACTGAGATGGGAACTAAAATGCACCCTGTGTCCCCAGTGCACAGCAATATGAAATTGATTGTAGGGTTTGGAAACGACACATGCACTTTGTCATGGCTGGTCAGCAGTGATTGACCTCATTTCACTTGTTTGTGTTGCTTTCTTTATCTGCTGCTTCTATATTATCTCGCTGCGTGCGTCAAATGTTATATGTAAACAAGATTGTTTTTTTTTTTTTTTACATGGCAGCCACTTTTACAATGACAATTGTGTTTTGATGCGACTTGAGCCTAAAACGATTTAATTTGACTGTTTTGGCAGGTTCGACACCGAGCCTCCGACCAAGTTATGGCTCTGAAGATGAACAAACTCAGCAGCAACAGAGCTAACATGTTGAGAGAGGTCCAACTAATGAACCGGCTGTGTCACGCAAACATCCTCAGGTCAGTGACCAAACAACTGTCTGATTAACTATATTCAACGAGGGCTCTAAATTAATTCTTCCAGGCATAGAAAATGAGTTCATTTTATTCGGCTTTGTTGTAAATTTGCTCTTTGGGGAAGCACCAACTTTTTAACCAAATAAATGCCACTTATCACTAAAGCAGGCTGAATAATGGGATAATGTTACGCTTTGTAGATCTAGTTCACTCTTGCATTCCAGCATAAAAGCAGCAGCTTTTTTCATGTGTGATTAATCCTAGCGTAAGAAACTGAATATTTCTAGTGATTTAACAATTTATTGTAATAAATGGTAGGACTTTATACATAACAATATTTCAACTAACTACTCATAGATGTTCTTTCTCACATGTCTGCTTCCCCTTTACCTTTATTTCTTTTTCTGTCAGTCGCTCATGAGCCTGTGGTTTGTGACCTGTTTCCTTTGGGGAGGGCTCGAAACTATCCCATGTCAGCACATTAGATATTCTAATCGTTGACTGATTTGACAAAAAGACTAAAGATTCAGGACTGCAAGCCTCTGCAACTCCAGTGACGAAATTAAGAACCACTGTGAATGTTTCAAGACATTCTGGAGACTCCTTCATGAATGATGTTTGCCAGCCCAGTGAGATACCACCTTTAAACTGCAAGTTTTTGCAGACCAGTTTATGCACCATAGTTGAGAATTAGATTAACTAGACTGCCTGGAGTTTTCATCCGAATCACTTTTGACCTGTACCTAAAAGTATCAAGACCTGAGTAATGAATTAAACTAACGGTTTAAAAGTAAGTAAAAATATGACATTTTAATTGCACAACTAGCTAAAAGCTTAATCAGAATTAAATGACTAATGGTATGAATATAAATATTAGCGCAACACTTAGCACAGCGTGCAAAACCAACTGTGCACTCCCTCAAACATCTGTGGCATCATGCTGTGATAAAACTGCACCTTTTGTTGTGGTCAGCCTGAGGCACACCTGTGCAATGATCATGCTTCTAATCAGCATCTTGATATGTCACACCTGTGCAACGATCATGCTTCTAATCAGCATCTTGATATGTCACACCTGTGCAATGATCATGTTTCTAATCAGCATCTTGATATGTCACACCTGTGCAATGATCATGCTTCTAATCAGCATCTTGATATGTCACACCTGTGCAACGATCATGCTTCTAATCAGCATCTTGATATGTCACACCTGTGAGGTGGATGGATCGTCTTGGCAAAGTTGAAGTGCTCACTAACAGATTTACACAAGTTTGTGAACGGTATTTGAGAGAAAAAGGCCTTTTGTGTACAAAGAAAAAGTTTAAGATCTTTGAATTGAATTAGAGCCAAACCAAAAATATTGTTTATATTTTTGTTCAGTGTAGCTGCATACACAGTGTACATGACGAACATGAACTACGTTTAGGTAAACATATTAACGAGCATTTGACTTTTGTATCTTATGATCTGGTAATATTGCAAAATGTGCATTTTCTTTATCAGCTGTAAAAAATTGAATATTCAGATACATTTCAGAACCAAAATCTTTATTTTTATTGCAGCAATGAAACATTGTCCATCGAAACTACCGTATTTTTTTGGACTATGAGACATGATTATAAGGCGCAATGTCAATGAACAGGGATGTTTTCATACATAAGGTGCGCCGGATTATAAGGTGCATTAAGCAAAACAAAACAGTCGGGTAAGTCAAACTTTATTCAACTCATTCACAATAACCACCTAAAATCGGTTCGAGGTTGAGTAAGCACAACCAGAATTAATACATAAGGCGCACCGGATTATAAAGATCACTGTCGATTTTTGAGAAAATGAAATTTAATTAATTAAGTGTACCTAATAGTCCCAAAAATACAGTAAGATGCAGTTCTCCACTCCAAATAAAATGTAACTACTCGATTAAAATTCAATATGAAATATGAAGAGTAAAGAGAATAAGTAAAGTAAATGCCTAATATCAAAAAATACATTATACGTATGTAATATAAATAATATATTTGCATTTAACAACAAATAAAATCAATAAAAAAATTGGTTCAGTTACTAAAACTTTACAGCTTTGGGATTTGACCATCAAGACTGTTTCAGTAAAACTGACCACAATGACCCAGAACAAGATGGCTCTTGTTTTTCCTCTGTAGAAAACACTCGCAGTGAGCTCATCTGTGGGAGTGTGTGCACTAAGCATGCACATACATGCATAAATATCTTTGTGTGTGCAAACACACGCATGCGCTCATCTTTTACAATGCCATCTTTGTTGAGCATCCCTTGTGGACTGAATGCGCGCCCTTGCGTGAACAAACACGCTGTGTGGAGTCATTGTTTGCTAAAATCCAGCAAGGACCTACAAATTTGACCTTTTTCATTGCCCCCAGAGTTTTGAGGTCTTCGAATCAGCTCATGGACAAAGTTTGTTCATACGTGGCTTTGCAGCCGCTCCTTGAGCCACTTTGTTGAAACAATAAATCTGTGATTCATCCTTTTAAACCTGAGACGATAAACCATTACGTTGTATCAGGTCTTCATATTTTAATGTTTTAGGGTTAAACAAAAGACAGACTTTCTCTAATACTAAAAAGTTATTCATACTGAGAGTTTTTTTTTTTAAATTATTATTATCATACTCAGCTTATCACCAAACAACTTGTGAAGTTCGCAAGTGTTAGGTTTACAGGTTAGGTTATGTGAGTTTGAAAATTGATAAGTAACCTAGAGGTAAAAATGAGAAGAATGTAGGTGAAGAGGTAGAGCTGTTATTATTATCCCTTTTAACAGTATTTACCTGTCCAGTCTTGCACACTTTAAAAAAAAAAAATTACCATTATTCCTGATTTCTCACTTTTACTCTTTGGTGAAAAATAAACAATTTTTTGATTTGATACTTGCACATTAAAATATTTTATTAAAGGGCTAATATTCCTTAAAAATAAAATGCATGCTTCCTTTCAGGCCAGAGTGGCAGAATAAGGTCATCTCTGATAAATGACCGAGTTAAAGCAGTTTTGGTTAAAACTTTAATAAAATTATGTAGTTTCATGATATTTGATAATGCATCGTCTCACATAGAGCTTGGGCAATGTGTTGGGAATAACTCAACTTTTACTACACGAAATTCTATCTCAATTTTTGTAAAATAATTAAATAAATAAAATCATTGAGGTGTTGCCATTTTTGTTAGACTAAGGTCATTCAGCTGTGGTGGCGTTCTCGATTTGGTTGACTTTAAAAGTAAAAGTTTAATTAGAATCCATTCAGTGGTTCATGAAATATTTTGCTAATGGCGAGAATTGATTCAAATACTTTTTGTCAGAGATTTAAATGTGAGCATTTCGTGCTCCAAGTATATGTTGAGGATCAGTCTCGGCTACTACAACGCCAAGTTTGAGCTCAATATTTACGTTAATGACGTATGTGGGTTGGCTAAAATGATTTGGCTCTAGCGGTCATCTTAAATCAGACGGACTTTAAAAGTTACTGGGTTGTAGATGTTAGCCCAATGAGTTCTTCCTGAAAGTTTTAATAAAATTCGTCCAGCGTTTCATGAGATGTTTTGCTAAAGGTGCAAATAAACATTTGTCACATACACGGACATGGGCAAAGACATCGCAAGTTGTCTCTGATGTCCACCTACTGTTGTGCTCAAATTGAGGTTTCGCGTGATGAAAAGTTAACGCCTAGTTTTGCATTTCTTTTCTAGGTTTAAGGGAGTGTGTGTCCATGAGGGCCAGCTTCACGCCCTGACAGAGGTAGGAGAAAATGCTCACAAACTACTTCTCATTGACGCTGCAGAACAAACTAATGACACGATGCCTCGGATCAAATTGTCTCTGCTAATAAAAGGTGCAGCAGTGGCGCACTTGTGTTCCCACTGATGTTGTGTCTACACACTTGAGTGTGTTTTATGCTCCTTCTATTTTTAGGCGTGCATCATGTCATGCACGAACACAACACTCTGACACAAATGCCTGCAATTGTGGAAAACCAAAAGGGACTGAATGTCCTTAAGTGTACATAACAACTTGGCTGCGCGTTTGAATGCGATACAGCAAAGGAATTTAATACGTGAGGTTTCCGAACTAGTAAGACGCACAGAGTCGGCTCACAGAGAGCAGTGGTTCAGCTTGTTCATCCATCCATCCGCATGTCCGCAGCCACCTCTTCCAGCACTTCTGGGAGGATTCCAAGGCGTTCCCATGTATGCATACACTGTTACAATAAATTGTTGCTTCTGCCGTCACTTACCATATTAATTACCGTATTTTTCAGACAATAAGGCGCACTTAAAATCCTTTAACAGTGAGCCTTATAGTCCGGCGCGCCTTACGTATTAATTCTGGTTGTGCTTACCGACCTCGAACCGATTTTATGTGGTGCGCGGCGTTCAAAAATCTGTCAAAATGTTTTAGTTTCGTTTAATGCGCCTTGTGCATGAAAACAGACCCATTGATATTGATATCGACACAGATTCATTATACAGTAATTCTCAGTCAGGTCATCTGGACTGTTTATTTTTTATAGAGACATTTCACCCTCTATCCAGAGGGCTTCATCAGTCTGAGGAGTTCCAGTAAACTGTTTCCCCACCAAGCAGTGCACTCCTTAATTGGACCAACCAGTTTGCTGGAGCTAAGATGGTTTCTGGGGGCCGTCCTGTCTCACGTCGACTCCTCCCAGGCAGGCAGCTTGGTGGGGAAACAGTTTACTGGAACTCCTCAGACTGATTAAGCCCTCTGGATAGAGGGTGATGTGTCTCTAAAAAAAATAAAAAAACTGTCCGGATGACCTGACTGAGACTTATTGGATTTGATACCTGGATGATTGAGCATGAACTTTGTTGCCTTGAACCACTTTGGCTGTGGCTGCCTGCGTTAAGGACGATTACAAAAAAAATATGTAGGTGGAATTACAAAAATATTTTCTAATATTAACTTACTTAATTTCTATAAGTAAATAAAAAAATCAAATTCAAGTAAACATCCTGACACAACATAAAGATGGATTAAACGAGTCCGGGTTCATCAAATAAAACATGAAAATTAGGGATGCACGATATAACTGGGATGGTATCGGCCGATATTAGCGATAAAGTTAAATATTGGACATCGGCCATTCCATCAAAATAACACCAATATAAAAGGCTTCTGCTTTAAGTTAATTTTGCATTTAAGAAGCTGTCACGTATATCTGTTAATGCACTACTACTTATGCACTTTTCACTTGTTGCTTGTGAGCAGGTTGAGTTTATATTTGTGAAAATTTACAAATGTGCACTGTTCGAGTGTTGTCGTCGTGTTAGAGTAAATGTCACAAATAAATTTGACATTAAACATAATCCAAGTTGAAGTGTTGCATCATTTTCAGCCCCTTTTTGGGCATCTGCATTTGGTAGCAAACCAAATATCATGTTGAATAATGTAGTATTTTCATTCCACAGCAAAGAAAGCTATGTAGTCTCTGTAAGTAGGTCTAGGAAAAAATATCGGTATTTGTATCGGTTATCGACCAAATAAGTTTTAACATATCGGATATCGGCCAAAAATCCAATATCGTGCATCCCAAATAAATTATATATAATAGTGTTCACATAAACAAGTAGTTACCGTATAAATGTGTCAACAGAAATAGAACGGAGAACAACTATTAAGTGCATAACGGTTCTGGAAATGAGGATGTACTCGCGTAACCGGAAAAAAACCGCACATGCACTCTTCTAAATGTGGATAAATACACACACACGGTAACAGTTTAATCAGTAACTTGAAGTAATTAAATTAGGTTTACGTGATAAGATGTCGGATTGAAGACATGCATGGTGGAAGATGCTCCCAGAGTCGCACACATGTTTCTAATTACACCGTTGTGCTGCACTTTGAACGAGCTTATTGTGGCTGAAGCAGACGGCAGCTTTTTTCCGCCGCGTACAAGAATACATCTTGAGAAGTTTACACACGCCGAACCACAAATGAACACACTGTTGCAGAGCAAGTGAATCAGACCATTGAGAGGCACATGCAGGAGTATGCCGATGATTATTTGTTTTCTTGCCGCAGTAAAAACGGACGTCGTTGTCATGTTTGTACCTCGTTATGATGCCGGTATCACAGGAAGTTTGGAATAAAGTTACTGCATGGCCCCAAGTTTCATCAAGACGCATTAAATAACAGACACATAAAACTCCACATCCTGCAAACACGTGGAAGTGTGCTGCCTTCAAAGTAAACCTTTAAGGATGTTTATTACCGAGAACCGCCGACAGTAAATATGAAACTAAAACGGAAACGTCGAGCTCTACCTTTTTGTGCGATCGATTTTAGTTTGCAAAGTCTCGACAAGCACATCTCTCACCAACTTCAACACACAAGCGTTTAGCTTTACGGACTGATTGCGTTTACGTATGGCAGTTATCACTTGAGGGCTCTAGAGCGGTAAAATGATCTGTTGTTCTGCTCGTGCTGAGCTTCACTTTAATGCATCTCGCTACTGCAGTTACATTCAGGGCAAACGGTGAGTCATGACCCACGGCAGGATTATTGTCCTGTTTGAAGCTGCTTTCAGTAGCAAACAGGGATTCTTTGTTCAAAGTCTTTTTCCCCCCAGGGGTCTTTGTCTGAATCACAGACAGCGCAGCAGAGAAACTTCCACATTTACATGACCTGCCGTATGTTTCTTATTTCCTTTCCTCCGTATGTTCTGCATTGTTGCGGTGAGGCTCTTATATAACCTCACAAGCTTAGCTGAGTGATTACTGAGGTGTATCAGTAACTCGGTGAAATGGGATTAAAGCAAATTCCTGGACAAACAAGAGTGTGTCTGAACGAGAGGCTTTTTGAATACAACTTTATTTCCACTTTAATTTGACACAGCAGATGCACTCTTGTGTAAAACCATACAATTTGCATTTTTGACCAGACTCTGTATGTGGTAGCTGTCAGTAAAATATGATCTAGTTGTTAAAGTTGGATTAATTTAAACGGGCTGACAGCAGTTCTACCATAATCTTCTGATGTCTTGAATCAAATATAATTTTGCATTTATTTTTTTTTAATCTTCATGAATCATTAAACTGTTGGGATAGTCAATGTTGCTTCACTATTTTAAGAGATACCAATAAATGTGATAACGTAATAAAGCAGTCCCTCGCTACTTCGCGGTTCGTTCCTCGCGGACTCGCTCTATCGCGGTTTTTCAAAATAAGATTGGACATAACACAAGTGGCTGATTGATGGATGAGCCGCACGATCGGCGTGAAGTTTTTATGTAAAATAAATCATTTGTAATCATTTAGCACCTGCTGCACATTTGTGCAGCCCACACTGCAGGATCAACTTCCTGCTGCAGCTGATCAGCTGTTCACCGTGCAGTGCGGAGAAGTGGGCGTGGCCAAGAGCGCTTGCAGGTGGCCAAGAGCAGAGGAGGCAGGGAGCTGAAATCATGACATTCTGTCTCTTTTAGAGCGTTTAGAAACATTGTTTAGAATATTGCGAGAGTGTGGGAAGGATTTAATATGTCTCTCTCTTTGTATGTAAATAATAAAATAAACTACTACTTGTACTAATATTCCTACTTGACACTTGACAAACGAGGAACTACTGTATTTAACGTATAAAGTAGTCTGGCGCATGAATTCGTCCTAATGCACAAAAAGGTTAAGGCTGATGTTTTACCTGCGTGTCAGTCGTGCTTTTAAGACCCAGCGTTCTTCAACTTGAATCTAAACTTTGCTTGTTGGTCATTCGTAGACGCAGATTAAACTAATGGAGGTGGTTTGTTTTGATTAGGGCAATTTTTTTAAACAAGGATGTAAAAACAAAAGAATGCAGATGTTGCTTGGTGACCTCAGTACACGCTTGACGAATGAAACGTCAAGCCTGGAGATATTTTGCATCTTGTAGAAGAATTCGGGGTTAATTCGTTCATTAATTCGTCTCTTTGATTTGCACAGCAGGTTCTTTAAATGGCACTGTTTCAGTCTCTTTAGTGGATGAATGAATTTGAAGTTAGCTGCATGATCCCGGGGTTGGAAGGGAAAAAACAAATCAACCTTTTGGTGCCTTTTGACATTTGTCATTTACTTTACGTTCAAATGTTCCACAGCATTAAGATTATATGCAAAATGTTAATAAATCAGCCAAGTTTAAGTCTATTTTAAGTGGAAGTAATGACTTTAGAGCCCTCAGCTCCCAGCACCACCTGCTGCTGACCTTTGCTCTCTTTGCTCTAATTCTGTGCCCGTCAGTCATACAGACAACCACCGCTAAACCCGACCGTCGCTTTATTCTCCGTCAGCTCTGTCTAGTTAACTACTGCCGCTCACGATCTGTGACATGGGATTAGTGTGTTAGCATGTTTGCGTGCCAGCAGGAAGGTCAGGCCGGTTCTTAAGGCTCAAAGCTGACAAAGTGAAGAACACTAGTTTATTTATTTAATTATTTTTACCCACTTATGGGCTCTCCTTGCCTTTCATTCTTCAGTCACTTCATTCTTAAAAGAGAAAAATGTCTGTTTTATAAGACAGATTTGGTTTCATTATTTCCACAGCATCTAACTTGTCGGATAGACCGTCCGTCTTCCTGTGGTTAAATCAGTCGGCATGTACTCGTGCACACTGTGCACGTTCACTCGATCTGTAGATTTAAGGCAGTAAACTAAATGACTGACATCTTCTCAATCCAAGTAATCGGTCAACAAAACCACACAGTTTCTGACTTAAACACATTACATATGAATCAAATTGTTTTTGAATGAGCCGATATTTTTATGATCTTGAGTTCAAAACTAATTTAAAATTTAAGTTTTTCTTTCGACGTCTGTACAATTATAAGGATTCTCAGCTTTAAATCGTGAAACTTGACGTCATCTGCTGTTGTGTTTGTGTGTGTACCAATCCTAATGCGTCATTTATTTTCTTTAGTACATCAATGGTGGAAACCTGGAACAGCTTCTAGACGGCAACAAACACCTGAGCTGGCCCATGAGGGTGAAACTAGCCTGTGATATCGCCAGCGGTGTCGCTTACCTGCACGCCAAAGGGATATTCCACCGGGACCTCACCTCCAAGGTTAGTTAAAGCTAATTGGTGGTTAAGAGGAGAAGCCACGGCTATTACCAGCAACCCACAGAGTCTGAGCACCTTTCACTCAGTGGATAAGCCTTAAACTTTTTAGTAATTCAAAATATTATAGAGTCAAATGTGAGGTCATCTGCCTGAGAGGGGAAGCTTGGCTGTCCAGTCCAAGTCCAGACCTTAACCACATGTAGATGATGATCATATGAGAGCTGTACATTGTCTCTGTAGCTTGGCTTAGTTTTTGTTAAATCATCGACGTATGTGTTGTTCATTTGAGGTCGTATTTATCTTATTGTAAGGACTGGTGAGGGACTCTCTTTTTTTTTTTTTTTTTATTCTATTGATATATTAAACCTTAGAGCTACTGTATAAAACGTACGTTCTTTTTATTGTTTCAATGATAGGATGCGTCAACTTAAGCTACTTTGTTTCTTGTTTTTTGTTGCATGGACTGAATTATCGGTTAGTTTTAAAGGTTTGTAGTTATTTCCAGCTCTTATTCGATGGATAATTTTTAAATTCTTGCTTACGGGTTTCAGATGGAAGATAAAAATGTAAAACGCTAGAAAATGTTCAGTGCATGGACCCGGAGCAGCTAACTTCTATGGAAACATCACTAATGTTCTATGTTGCTCTGCACCCAGCAGTTTAAACATCATCGGGGATGAAATGTGCTCACAGATATAACTGTTCCTCAAATAATTTAAAAAGGCAGTTTGCTTTAACTTCCCTGATGATGAGAATGGCTGTAGGCATTGTAGAAATTATAGTTTATAGACAATTTACAGATATTCATGCACATCACATAACTCAAAACCAGGGAAGGAAGTACAATTAGTCTAATGTGTCCTGGATGTATGTATTGTAATGGTTGTCGGTTTGTAGAACGACTAGTAAAAAATAAACTGTGACTACATGAAACTTTAACATCCAGCTCAAAGTATCAGAATGCATTTGCTGCTTTGTGGCTGTAGATTATTTCCATTTTTTTGAAGCGTGAGGAGGAAGAGTTGAACTTGTACAGTAATTCACATCATTCTAATAATGACTAAATAGGAAGTACGGGTTTGGTTGACGGCGCTCAGCCACAAAATGGTCTGCTTATGAATCCTCCATGTTGCCACATTCCTCAAGTAACCATTTATGTCTGTGGTTTTCTGTATTTACAGAACTGCCTAATCAAATGTGATGACAACAGCTACACAGCAGTGGTGGGAGACTTCGGCCTGGCTGAGAAGATCCCCGCTAATCTGTAAGAAGACCGCAGTGATCGTAAAAAAACAACAACACCCAAACACTTAAATGTAGTTTTTGGTAGTAAAATAAAAAGAAGCTGACACAAACGGAAACACGTTGGCAGCTCATTTTCTGCCCCTGAGATGGTGTTACAGTCGTTCTGACTCATACTGACACTGACTCTTAATGAATCTTGAAATCTTTCATAAAATCTCCCTAAACTGGTAATGGCTTTGTCTTTGAGTCAGACCTTTATTCTTATATTATGGAGCCCTTTACAGAGAAAAAGTACACAGTCATTAGCTCTTATCTTTTTCACAGACAACCTGAAATTAAAGGAGGCTGAAACACTCAAACTGAACGATGTTCTCTTTCTGTTTTGATGTGTAAATCTGCAAATATCTCTTGTTTAATGTTCATCTTCCCCCTTGTGGCTAAAATTCAACTGATTCTGCTTTTAAAAAGCTGTTTACCGTCTTTTTGCTTCATTAAAGCCGTCACTGTCAGGTTTTTTATTATTATTAATGTGAACTGTACCTGCCTTAGATTTCAGGATAGATATTAATAATTTATCGTCTTATACTTTTGTTCACATCACTTCTTTATTTTTTTGAACTTGAGCTTTTCCAACAAACTCTCTTTAATTCATTCCTCCTCTTCCTTGTCCTCCTCGCACCAGGTTATTTATTTTCACGGAGGTCATTAATTTCGCCTCTACTACTCACATTTTCTGCTTTTGTCCGCAGGAGGGTTTGATCTGCGCAGGTTTTTCTTTTTAATTCTGCAGCAGCGCAAAGGAGTGGGGTTGTATTCAGTCTTCTGTAATGCCTCAAGGAACAAGTTCTAGTTGAATAAATTATAAAATCTTACACGTATTCACAATACGCATGGCGATAGTGATGAATTTGACTGCTTAGAGAAGTCAAGTTTTAGTTTTCCTGATTGTGAAGTCGAATTCGGCCTAAAAATATATTTCTGATCCCACAAAACTCGAGTCAAGTCCAAACGGAGGAAAAGCGTAAAGTTACAACACGTTTTATTTCTGAGGTTTTGTTATAATAAACACAAAACTGCTGCCATGTTCACAACTTTTATGTAAGAAACAGAAGGATTATTTAAGTTTTTTCCAATTTTCTTATTTGGTCCTTTGTTGTGCAGATTAAAGTCACAGAAAGGACTGATTAATTTCAATATGTGATCTTTTCATTAGCGCTGAAGGAGAGAAGCTCTCAGTGGTTGGTTCTCCGTTCTGGATGGCTCCTGAGGTCCTGAGAGATGAATCGTACAACGAGAAGGTAAACCGTATCATCGTTAGTGCAATGACGTTACCACAAAGGGTATATGAGCTTTAATTGGACACAATTTGCTTTATTATTAATTAATCTTAAATTAATATTTTGGGAAAGTTTAAATATATATACGTTTGCATACAAAAAGCACATTATTTACACTAATCATTGATTATTTGATATGTAATATTCAATGGATAATTAAGTTGAGATTATTGATGTAGCTCATTCTCTTCAAACACAAAGAAATTCAATGTTTTTGTGTCTGCGTTGTTTTGGACTCGCATTTGTTTATTTCCAGGCTGACGTGTTCTCCTACGGAATAATCCTGTGTGAAATCATTGCAAGGATCCAGGCCGACCCCGACTTTCTTCCTCGCACCGAGGTAACAAACTGCTCGTCTTTATTAATTCTTTTAAACCCTCATTTTATTTATCTCACTTTCTTCCAGTAGTCGCTCTCAAGATCTGTGAAAACTAGTTATTTTCTTTACGTTTCTCCTTCAGTAGTTAAAATGGTTTTCAGTTAGTCGTCAAAACTTTCTGAAGGTCTTTCATAACTTTTTGTTGAACATGGACTCAAATGAGGAAAAAACAGTCAAGCACTTGACTATTATAGAAGTCATGTTTATTGTACCTGTACTACTATTATTATTATTATTATTATGTAGCTAGACATATTTTATTCACTTTTTTTTGGCTGCAGCTACCAAATTTGTCAGGGCAATTTTTAGTTTGCTAATCGTTAAAAAGCATTTCTGTAGAAAATACTACAGTGTTATCAGAAAACCTGGCCAATATTTGCATATTGGTCCATAACAAATCTGTGTGAACAGGGTAAATAGAGGACTAAAATCATTATAGCAAATGGGCAATTATCTTAAAACAATTACATTTAATGTATCCTTTTAGCTAAACAAATGGGTGCACGTGGTGTTTTTGTGACGGGCTGCTTTAAGATCCTATTTTGAATTGTTTCTTTTCAAAGTCATAACCACAACACTGATTTGTTTGCTGAGCTCCTGTACCTTTTTTTTTTTTTTTTTCTCACAAAAAATACTTTTTCTGTAAAATTATTAGTTCACAGATCTAAACTGAAAATGGAAAGAAAAAACAACCACTGTCCAAAGATGGGCTTTAAAAATGCCTTAAAAATCAAAGAACTATTACACGAAAGTGCTTTAATAATTTCATCGCCCTCAAATGTATCAACCTAAACTCTTCAAGTCTGTTTTGTGTTAAAATATAAAATGTATGTTACTCAAAACGTAAAGTTTCACATGCTTTTCTCCCACAGTCTGAGTTATTTACTGCAAAGGATCCACCTTGAAATCATCAACACAGGATCATTTCTTGCATGCTGGTGTAGACTGTGCCTTAAAGTCAGGCTTAGAGGTGAATCCAGGTTCAGAAACAAGTCGGTGGTTGCGAGTCCGTACTAGCCTGCAGCCATCTTGGAACTTGTCAGGCAGCAGCACGTCGTCAGAGGGATTAGTTTGACACGAAGTTGGCTTTGGCAGTACATGTCAAACATGTAATGAAGCCCGTCTGTGTCCCTCTTACAATATAACGAGTTTCCTGTTTGTCTTTTGTCAATCCTCTGCGTTTCTCCACCTCCTGCGCAGAACTTCGGCTTGGACTATCACACGTTCCAGCACATGGTTGGAGACTGTCCGCCGGACTTCCTCCAGCTGGCCTTCAACTGCTGCAATGTGAGTCCATCATCCTGCCGTCCAGTTGCTCCGTCTCGGCGTCGAACCAGAGTTTTTGATTTGTTCCCGATGTTAAGCAGCTGCCGTCCGCTTGTGGGAAAGTAAGAGCAGGCGGCAGCGGCTTTAAAGTTTTATTTTCTATAAACCGTTTGCTTCTCATATTTCAAACTTGGAGTGAAAATATGTTCTTCAGTTTCTTAATTGCTTGTCTTGATGCTGCGTGTGGTTTAAGATTTATTTTTAATTTCTTAAGCAACTTTTATTCCCTAAGTAAAGGAGCAATCTGATTATCCGATTAATCTGATTTGGCTATTTATCCAGGAGGGTTGTTCCCTGCAGTCTGGACCACTTCCAGCAAGAAGTTCAACATTAATTTGTGGTCAAGTTGATCAAATTTCAGTAACAAAAAAAACGAAACTTTTTCTACTTTAAGTTTTCTTCTTCACACCTTTAGTCACTTTACTTTAGAGTATACTTTATTTTCTTTTGCTCTGACTTTAATCGTACAAAATATTGGGTCATTAAAGGCTTTTCTACTCCCTGCTGATTGATCGTATATAGGCTCCTTTATCCCTTTTCATCCTTGTCTGTTGTCTCGCTTTTATCATCTAAACGTCTTTACTAAACTGTTTTAAACATGTTAGTCTTGCGTTTCTATCTTGTGCTTTTGATCTTATTTTTTCAAAGCAACGGTCTCTAATGGAGAAACATGAAGCCAAAGTCTGAAGCTTGGGTGAATCTGTGCTTATCTAAAACCATAACGTCAGACACGAAAGCAAAAATAAGCCCTTTCCTGTCTTTATGTCTAAACAGATTCGGTCTCTTTAGCTGATTACAACTGTGGTTCAGGAATTTTTTTATAATTAACATTTAAGACTTGTCTTAAGCACCAATTTAATTAAAGTTCAGGTAAGATAATGTCTTGATTTCTTCTCAAAAGCTTGCTTATAAATTATTTGTTGAGAAAGTAAAAAATATAGCCAGGATAGACTGTAAAGGAATATTTTTTATTCTGTTTAAAATACAGTTCATGTCCGGCCATTTTCATCCGGTAAAGAAATTTAGTGTCCCAAATATAATATTGACATACTTTTTCGGTGTTAAAATTAAAAAAAAAAAAAAAAAAAAAATCCCAGCTTTGAGCTTGACATAGTATCCCTGCTGTATTCTAAATTGTGCGTATTGTTTTATTTCCCATGTTTGTTTTGTTCTGCCTCTGCATTTATGATGAAATCTATTAGACTTGTGGTTTTATTTTCAGCTGCTCCTATGGGGGCCTTGCGATTTAAACAAAACATTTGAAAAAACAAATTACATTTCAATGAACGCGATTACATTAAGCCTAGAAAATGGCGCTCAAGAATGCTACTGAC